CTTCCTACGCAATTCGCTCTCGGCATACAAGTGTATTAGAAGTATCCAGTCAATGGCAGTGACGACTGCAAGATCTTCTCAATCTGTAGAATCTCATCCACATGAAAACATCCTTCCTTGACGAGGCAGCAATGAACAAAAGCGTTTTGATTATGGTAAGATGTCAGTAGAACAACAGAGAGCAAGGGCAGCTTTGGAACGATGCTTGGTTTGGGTCCTGAGTGAGTTACCACCGCGTGGCTATGCTGCGGTTTAAGGAGCACCATCTCCACACCATGTCTGTGCGACGTGAGCAGAAGCCCACCGTGCTGGCTCTCACCATTTCTGATGGCTGCGGGCAGATTCACCAGGACACCAACACACCTAAGCTCCAGCGCAACATGCTTTTGTGAACTCAAAACAGCATTTCCAGGAAAGAGTAAGGGGAGTAAGCAATGAGATAGTAGTAAAATGAAGTTTTATTATTGGCAGTGAAAGACGGCAGCTTAATTCTCTGTATACCCACACATACAATTACACTATTAAAATGAATTAACTACTCTGAGTAAGCGTCAGGAAAATATATCTTGTTTTGTAACAGTGCACTCAGCCTGCTTCAATTTAAATGGGGCACAAGCTCTCAGCATCTGTCTGTGACCCTCGGAGCTCCCCCAAAGCTCTCTTGCGGCTAACTCCGCTCTCCTTTTCTTCCCCTGGCATTCTGCTGAAGTGCATTTGCTTGTCCTGCAACGCAAATCCCAGGCAACTCGGATAAAATCGCGTAGCCAGTTCTCACAAATCCATGGAAACAAGCACAAAGGCCCGGGAACGCCGCTAAGGAAGCCCACTGGCAAGTGGGTAAAGGCCGGGGTCGCAGCCGTGCCGAAGATGGGATATCCCATTCAAGCAGCATTTGCCTTCAGTGCGAGGCGCTGGGAATACGAGGTGGCTGCTAACAGAACCGGCAACGGGCCAGAAAGTATCAAAAAAGATAAGGGAATAGCCAAACAACCCAGCTATTCCCATGGGCTACCTGTGGCACAGTGACTCCAAACTATTTCCCATAAACACAGCAGAATTCAGTCAAGCATCGCTCAGAAAAAGCAAGTTTTCCAGCTGCAGAATGCCACGTCCTGTAGGCAAAGGCAAAGCCCTGCTCCCACCGACGGGGCTGAGTGGGAGCCTGCAGCACCACCCCGACCTCCTGGGACTTCTTCTGCTCCGGGACCTTTCAGAAGCTGTTTGAAGCCTGATGACACTGAGAGCGGCTGCAGCCAACCCAAAATGTCTTCTGGCCTTCCTGGCTAGTGGAACTTCTCATAACCAAGGTCTGACCGTCCTGCAAGTACAAACTTCGCCAGGCAATGAGGCTTTTCTTGACGTAGAGGCTAAGCAGCACCTGGACTCCAAAAGCAGTAAGAGTTATGGAAGTAGCATTTTTGAAAAGAGAAACATGGGATGATGTAAAATTCCACCTTGCCCAGGAACAAGCAGGGACAGGTCTTCACAGTTTAATTTGAACTTTCTTTCCTGTTTAGCCCAGACCAAGACCTCTTGAAAACGGATGAGCTGAATTTAGGCTGGAAACTGGGGACAATCCACCCAACATCTGCACTGCCTGGAAGGAATGACCAAACCCAGAAGGTGCATATACATTTGGGGCACTTCCCTCTCGGAGAGCTGGAGTTGCCGTTCTGTCAATGTGGAATAGTTCCCAAAACATAGAGCAGGCAGCAGAAAGCAGACACGTGCACCACAAGAGACTGACCTAAACCACTCCCTGCTTGTACTCAACATGCAAACTCCTTCAACATCACAGAGAACACAAAGGAGAAATACAAAGACGGATGAGAAACTAATACTGGTGTCTCCCTTAAAATTACTGATTCATTCCATACAATATGGATGAGGATTTCACTGTAACCGCTTTCTGCCTTATGGCAAAATTAAAAAAAAAAAAGCATTCAACAGCTCTGCCACTCACTGGCCTGAAACAGGGGGCTCGCGTTTCCTACCACCAGTGTGACTGCGTGAAGCCTGGTTTCCTCAGCTCCGATTGCCTTTCCTTCCATCCATCCCAGCCTACTCCTTCCCTCTGCTGGTCTCCATTCGCCGTCAATAACAACGGTTCCAGATTTTTCTTCTCCTGTTAAGTTCAGCTTTATTCAATTCCATCGCAAGCTCCTCATTTGTTGTACGTTCTCGGTGGCTTCGAAACAGCCCTGTGTTTCTGTTTTCAGAAGTGACCTGTTCAACATGATCTTAACCCTGTAGTGAAAAGCAAGCACCGGGCTATGTCTGTAATGCACAGAGCTGAGTCCCCTGCAAAGAGAAACAACCTGTGCACAAGAATCAACGATTTCAGGTGAAGTAACTGGACAAGAATAATTTTCAAGAGACAGCTTAACAAAACAAACCGTCCTCCATTTGAATATCTCGAGCCCAGCCAGAAAAAGTTTGGCCTGTAAAATCATTTTCAAATGAAAAGTCATTTTCAAAAAGAATTCTTGACAAGATTCAAATCAGCTGCGGTCTTCCAGCTCAGTCAGACCCTGGGAACCAAATTCTGTTCTCATTTACATCAGAGCAAAGCTCAAAGTCTAATGAAATATTTGATGTTCACCCTGATGTAAATGAGAGCAGAATTTGGTCCAAAATATCCTGTTTTCCCTACTGACTTTATTACAGGGTGAGTGTTAGGCAGGAGTTCAGATTTCTTTTGAAGTTATTTTATGGCAAGGGGATAGACTGGCAGAGATCTAGTTTGACTAGTCTAATCTGTCCTAAATATGCACACAGTGTCTGATGAAAGAACCACAGAGAAGCTGTGGCAGCCCTGCAGTGCATAGTTACAGAAGCCACACAAATATGATTGAGCTTACAGCAATTTGAATTGGAAGTATACTGCTAGAAATCTAACCCTGGGTACTTTACATGTCAGCAACTCAGAGATTTTTAATATACCAGCTGAATGAGTTATAAACATGAAAACCTGAAACCATTACTGAAAACTTGCCCAGAAGGAAACTGGAAAACAACAGCACAGAGCAAGAAATAAGCAGCATAATTGGATAAAGCAAAGAACAGCTAAATGCAGAATTGAGAAAGGTAAAATCCCCTCCTTGCACGCTCACTTCACCTGCAACATCTGACAGTTCCACTATAGCAAATGACTTGATCAAACACAAACAGGAATGGAATAAATACATAATGGCAGACAAACTGAATGTGTTACATTGGAATTTTTGAATGTCAGCCCGAGAAAAGAGAGGTGATAGAGCACTTGGAAGAAAATGAAGGAGCAAAACCTCGACTAAAGATGTCAGGAGGGTAAGAAAGCAAATGGGACTTTACACATCCTTCCCTGTGACATGCAAAGGGCCTGTTTAATGAGCCTTACAGACTGTCCCGACCAGTGGTATTTTAGCTGTAGTCATTTGCCCAACTTATCAGTCATCCCTCACACCACCCTCCCTAATGAGTCATATTTCTTCTATAATAGAGTAGTAATAAGCCAGAAGAACTTAAGCCTGGAATAATAACATTGTACTTTGCATGTTTACAGTGCTTTTCCTATTTAAAGCACTTCTCTCATATTACCCAATTGTTCTTCATAACAAACTCATCTGCATTTGCTTCTGTGATTCCTTCATTTCACAAAGGTGCAAATAAAGACAAAGATACCGGCAGCTTGCCCAAGGCTACAGATGAATAAATGAAAGAACCAAACTATACTTTCCAGTTCCCATTCTGTGCCTGCATTAAAGGACTGCAGACCCTTCCCCAGCTGGAAGCAGAACGTCTTATTTCCATATTCTGACCATCCCTTCCGCTGGTGTAACCCAGGAGCAAGGCTTTCTCCATGGTCACACAACACTTCCAACTCGACTTCCACTTCATCGCCAGCAGCCGTGCCATTCCCATTACCTCTGTCCTCGGGTAGCTCTACATACACAACACAGCTCACAGCTAGGACGGGTCTGGTCTTGCAAAGCTGGGGTTTCTACAACAGGCCCACACTGGAGATTACTTCAAACCTTTTGCTCTGGCTCTGTATAATGATGAGTGCCTCAGAAATACAGTTATTTGTCTACAACATGCAAATATTTACAGTGGATGTAAATCAGAGATTGGTATCTCCCCACCAGAAATAATTCCCAAAACACAAAAAGTTAAAAAAAAGATCAAGAACTTGGCTTGTTAATCATCTGCATTAACCCACTTACAGCAACAGTGGCATTAAGGAAAAACATGCTACATGTTTATACACAGTCCAGTTGGGACTCATCAAGTCTAACAATTTTTGAGCTTGTAAGTCTAGATTCAATTTTCTTGAATAATAAATCCACACATATATCCAATATTCAAAATAAACTAGAACAGCAGCTTTCTAGGACTTGATTCCCACACTAGCACTTCTGAACTTTCATAGGATGTTCTCAAATCCCATTAACCGCTGTATGCAAACGTGATATGCTTGAACGTGTATCACCTATGAATGACAGTCTTGCCCTACTTGAGCCTATTGGAATACCTGTATTAATTTCAGCAGTCAGTGTTCCATCACGAAGACTTGATTTTGTAATTTTTTCACAAATTAAATTCCTACTGATAGTAAAACCAGGAGTTTTGCCTTTCAAGGGCTTGTGTAAATATGGCTTTGAAAACAGGAGGTCTAATACACCATTCCTGGTTGTTTCAGAGCCAGAACTGGAGTAAAGCTCTCAAGATCTCCATTAGTTTTCCACTTCAGGGACACAGCTCGACTGACCAAAAGGTAAAGGGAGCAAATCACAGTCTGGATTCATGTTGTTGGGATTATGGCTCTTTTACGCAAACACGATCAAAATGATGGCATAGACACCACTGTCTACTTCTTTGCAGCTCAAAGTGACTATGGGAAAATCTGCAGTTTATGGAAAATCCTTACTCTACGAATTTAGCTGAATGAGAAAGCTCTAGCCAATAGCAAGAGAACTATCGACACGTGCACCAAATTCTAATAAAGCAGAGTAACGTACCTCCTTAAAGTTATCGAATGCAGATAAAATGATTTCATGCCCTCCTCTGACGAGGCAAACAGCTGCTAAAAGTTCTAGGACAAGGGCCTTTGTCCTGTGAAGAAAAGAAACAGTGACAGTCAATGACCACCACGTGCTGAACCACCTTCTTTCTACTTGCTTGCAAAACAGATGTGGAGACACTGGGAGATGTAGTTTGCATCCCGTCTATTTTTAATCCCTTGAAACTAGTAAACTTGCAAGATGCATAAAGCTGAGCATCATCTGATCCAGGGCGTTTTGACTCTCCCAGGATCATGCAGTTTTCCCCCATTTAATGCTTCTCAGAACATGCAAAAATTTAAATCAGATTATACTTGTGGAAATTCAAGCAAACCAAAGGCAGTTGCATAACTCTGGTAAAGGCAAACCACGTCAACCTTCCACAGCTTGTACTCCAGAGAGCTCACCTGCACAAACCCAGAGAGGAGGCAGTTTTACACAAGCCAGGATCACTGCACATCAGCCATTAGTCAGCTGTCTTCATCGCAATGCAGCCCACTTCCTCTGAGCCCAGTTTTTATAATGAATGTGCTTATAATTCAAATCTGTATTTTTCCTGATACAAATCTGAATTATTTTCTATGGTAATTTGTATTATTCATAGCCACACACAAAAAAATTAAAAAAAAAAAATAAAAAAAAGACGTGGTTCACTGAAGTAACTATAGGATGCCTTAGCACATCTTTCCCCTCTTGAATCAGAAATCTGGGCAACTGATTGACAGCAGTGCTAACACAGGCATGTTAATGAGAGAAGACAACAGATTACTGAAAGAAAAGCATGCAATAGACTCAGTGTAACTCCAGTATAAATAATCCCCAGTACTTTTTTATCAGGTTCACGTAAGGCAAAAGCACCAACCGGACTTTATAGTCAGATGAGCTCTGAGCAGATAGTCAAATCATGCAGACACATATGAAATTAGTCTCATGCTAAAGCATTGACTCAAACCAGATGTTACAGAAAAAGAAATACCTTTCGGCTTTCAAAGTGTCAAGGTTATCTTTGGAAATCAGATAAAATGTTCACTTTCCTAGGAAATTTTAAATGTATCATTTTCAATTCTTACTCATCAATTATTTTTTTCCTGCCACAAGAAGAAAATCCAAGCTCTTTCAGACAGGGTCAAGGAGCTCTGACTACAGATCTTCAGTAATTTCCCCTCCAAGGGCAGGCTATGAGCTGTGTGTGCGGAGAAAGGGGAGGGCGATCTCCGTGAGCGGAGAGCCCAGGGGCATGTCCAGGTCTCCGATGCTGGCCGGAGCGCTCACCCACCGGCTGCCCACACATCTGGGGTGGGATGGGGAAAGAACAGTTACGGCTGCGTTGGCGGCATCCGTTTGGGCACAGCCAGAGGAGATGGAGTCCCTACATCCATCCTCCGCCTGGCCTGCCCACTCCTGCAGCACTTAGGTCTGCAGGTCCAGGGATGGGATCAGCTCTGCAGCATCGCTCAGAGCAGCTGCTTCCCTTTCTGCACATCTCAGCCAACCCTAAGCACTCAAACCTTTGGTTTCTTCAGTCATCACGATGAGCCTAAAACAAATTAGGTTTTGAACATCACTAACGTTAAGTTTTGTCTTCAGATTATTTTAGCCACATTGGAAAGCTTCCCCCCCCACCCCCAATAAACAGAAATCTAAATAACCCACTTCTTTCAAAGATGAAAACTTAGGCTTTCTCTTGATCACCTGATTCCCAGGCACAGGACACCAAAAATGATAAAAACAATGAACATCCTATATCCTTCCCATTTATCCTGTGCCTAGGCTTGCTGACTTAGGGCTAAATAAAAGAAAGGAAGGAAATACCTACTTCTATCAGGACAAGATTTCAAGCAGTGCACTGTAAGGCAAGCGGACAGCCTAAGCAAAGGCTATATATATCTATAGTGCTGTTTAGTTTTGTCTCATCCCCTGGTTTTACCTTTCCTTGCAAACATCAGTATGTCAGATTTGGTTTCGTTAGACATGCAAGAGGTCTGCAGCTCCAGGTTTTGCTGGAAGTGGCTGCCAGGGTCACAAGTGTGTGTGGGGAGAGGAGGGGGGACAGCCTCGCAGCCATCACTTCCACTGTGCAATTACGACATTATTGCTGTGGCTGAACAGCAACCTGACACAGAACAAAAATGAAACCCTCTCTCAAAGAAATTCAAACCTAAGGATGCTTGAGACAAAATTTTGTAAAGAAGATTTTCCTACTCTTCAGGAAAATCCCATGCTAAGCTGCTCATTATCAGCAGGGTCTTCTTTGCATTGCAATAGAGCTCAAGCACTTATGCAGTGGACTTTCAGCTGAAGAGTCAGTAGGCTTCTAAAACCAATAGAACTAGGTGGCAATTGCTCATCTATCTGCACCATTACACAGATTTAATCTGATTCAGAATGAAGTCTGATTTTTGCTACAGGTTTGTGCATACATGTACCCCTGAAAATGCTTTTCCAAGTACTCTTTACTTACCTACTTCTTAAACTCTCTAAAAGCAAGTACAGCCTACCTGGGATTCTTGTTGTTCAAACTTAGTGCAATTTCATTAACGGCATGTGGATGCGACATGACCATATTGAATCCATACTGAAAAGAGAAGGGGAAAATATTGTTTCAGTTTCAAGACTGAAATTATTACTTTTAAAATCCAACGAATTACGTATCTCTGACCAGATCTAGTGGCAGTCTTTCACAGTGCTGTAAGCCAAACAAAACGTTGTCGAGTTTACCAAGTCAGCCGGAACATTTCCATCTACCACCGTGCCTAACAACTTCTCTGCCACTAACAGTGTCCAAAGTGCTTGCTTTGGCTGCTCCTACACCACTGCCAACCCCTCTGCTTGTCCTTTCCGCCCTCCAACCCCTTTTTAATTCTGACAGTCAAGTGCATCATTTACTCTCTAAAGAGGAATTTGAAATTCAGCTGCCAAAATTGCTTCTTTTCCAGTGTGCATGCTGCCATAAAGCGACTGCATCATGCAGTTATTGCACGAGTACTGCTGGCTTTGCTCTCCAAAGATGAAAAAAGAATTGCTTTGGAAAATACTGTATTGGTTATTAGCATGAGATCGTTGTTTGCATCCTTCCCATCAGAGGTAAAACACAGTGTAAATCCCAGAGTTCACATACACAGCAGTGTTACAAATACCTCGTACAACTGTACAACTCATAACAAAGGTGTTCACCACAGCCTTTCCTTGAAGCACTTAACTTTTAGCTGTTACTGTTTTAGCAAAAAATCCCGAGTCTCTGAAGCTACCCGGGCATGCCATATGATCACAGCATCCCACTGAAGAGGAAAAAAAACTCATGAAAATAAGATTAGCTTTGGTCTAGTTTATTCTCTGACTTGCAGTTATTGCAATTACCTTGCCATAAACACGTAACAAGAGTGAAAGCTTAGATTTTCCATCAGTGTATAGCTCTTCTGAAAAATTCTCATATTTCCTAAGTGTTAGCACCAAATTCTGAGACAAATTATAACTTCAGTTGTGCAGCTGCATGTCTAATCAGTTAGTGCAAACTGAGCCCATCACTGCAAACAGGAACTGGCCCAATACGCACACGTTCTTATCTACATTTGTCTTCACATCTGTACTAAATCAGCTGCATGGGTACACAAGGACAGTGTTATATTGCTTCCCAGCTACACTGCCTAAGAATGAGTAAGAATTTAAACTTTTGCATCAGTGTTACCTTAACAATTCACCACTAACCTTTTCCTCCCCCCCCTCCCAACAACAAAATAGTTACGTGGTCCAAAAGAACAAAAAGGGAAATACCTGGTAATTCATTATGGCCCGTAAACACATGATGCAGACATGAACATCATCTTTTTTACTCACTAATCTGGAATTTTTTAGTGTTCTTCGACTTGGCAAGGTGTTATACCTGCAAACAAAAACAGCTCTCATCAATCACAAGACTATTTTTAGGTGGTAAGAATAAAGGAATGGAAATACTCCACTGGGTGAAAATGCAGACATCTTTCAGTTGTGCAGAGGATACAACCGTCGGACAATACACATGCAAATAAAGCAGAAAAAAGGTCACGGGCTGTTTACGTTGGCAGCGTACGAAGCCCCAGATGCACGGCTCTACAACTGCCCGCTGGCCACCGCTGCCCAGCCCAGGGCCGGCAGACACCACGAGCTGCCGGTCTCAGCCCTTCCACCCGGCACAGCCGATGCCACCAGCCACAGCACGACCCATCCAAAGCCAGGTACCTCCATCTCTCGTGGCATGCAACGGGGAAAGAACGATCCACCCGCAAGCAGAGGTATTCCGGATTTTCTTCCATGCACTTTACTCTGCACGAGCAACGGCACAGACTTTTAATGGAACTGAACATTCGTAGGCATCAGCAAATGTATTAATTCGCGCTGCACTTCATTTAAGAATGGTGCCTCTCTTCTATTCTGCAGCTGAGCGTTCTGAAAGGCCTCCAAATTATTTAAGGAAAATACAGCCCTTAGGAACTTTACTCAAAACAGAGGCATTAATTATTTTAATTGTAACCCTTAACTGGTAAATCAACCTTGAATTCAATTAAATAAGTACACGGAATAAACACAAAGGGAAATCTTTAAATCTGTCTTTTCTATGGCATAGTAAATGAAAACCACATTTCAGCTCTTCCCGAGATACTGCTTATTTTCTTTAAGAAAAAACATGCTTCACGAGCTGAGCACAGGAAATTGGAGACAAACTGCCATACAAAATACATATATGTTCTTACATATGTGAAATTGAATAAGCAACAAGACGATTATGATTATGGTCAAAAAACTCTTTTGACAGTGATCCACTGACTGGTGTAACGGGCCGATGGTGTCCACGGTGCCGCCGCACCACCCTGGTGAGCCCGGGGAGCAGCACACCACAGGACAAGCCCCATCCAAACTGCGGGGGGTCTGCAGGGCCCCCCCGGCTGTGCCAGGGACACGGAGGTTTCTCTGCAAAGCTGCGCAGGCTGCCCTGAGCAGCTCTAGCCGGCGGCACCGCAGGCGATGCTGACAGCGAAGGTGAAGTTTGGTGTTTGGGGTTGGAAAAATACATTATTTATCCCGCTCTCCCAATTTACAGCATAAAAACAGCCTGCAGAGGAGGTCCAGGCAGGTTCTCAATTAGTCACAGGGCTGCAGCATCCAGAGATTTGCTCCTGATTTACACCTATGCAGGTGAGAGCAGAGACCAGAAGGGTATCAGCTCGCCGGCTCAGAGGCTAACGAAACCTCTAGACAGGCACAGTAATCCTTTTGCACTTCCAACTATCATACTCGGGCCTGAAAATGGAGGAAGAAAGAATAAAAATCTGCTGATAGGAAGACAGAAAGGAAAATAACGTGATGCACGTGCAGTGATGTGCAAATTCTGACATTTGTTAGGCAAAGAGCAGCTCCACTGGGGAAGGAAAGAGAAATTCATAGGTGAAGCTTGACTGGTGGAGTAAATAAAACCTCCAGTAAAAACAAGGCTTCTTCAGACAACTGCAGCTGGCTTCACACTTGCCAATGCCACCTTTGCAGCCTGGAGAACATACACAGGAAGGCTTTTCTTCTCTTTGATTCAGGAAAACAACTGCAGTGGGGAAAGCTTCTGGAATACAGCATCCTTAGCTCTCACCACAGACCCTAACCAGGAGTTAAACATACCAGTGCTGGTACCAGCAATGACTCAAAGCACAAATGCAAACACGCTGAGGCAGGGCGAGAAGGTGAGCTGGAGAATGGGAGAGCTTCCAAGGGACACGCAGACCCAGGCTTTTCCATCTAAGAACTATCCCAACACTCCAAGAAAGTATGAGTGGCATGGAGGGAGTCAACAGGGAATGATCTGTCATTATTTCTCGTACCATGGGAACTATGTGGCATCACATATAATTATCAGGTGACAGGATCAAAGCAAACCTGGTAATTTTTGAGGCACTCCTCCACACAGTGCTTCGGAGAGCGGGAGTTCTTCAGCACAAGTGCTGCGGAGCCCAAAGCCTGGCATAGGCTTCAAAAGCACTTACACCAATTCACAGAGGAAAAAATCCATCAAGAACTATTAAACACAATCCTGATCCTTCGATCAGGATGCTTAAATCTACAGACTGCTGGAAGCAGGAGCATGAACCAGGAGAAACATCATTGGATATGTGCCTTGCTCGTACTAAGCAAGTGCTCTAAGCATCTCGTGAACTAAGTGTCTGCTCCCGGGCAACGCCAGAGAGGGTATTAGATACGGCTTTGGTGTTACCACACTTCACTGTTTTCCTCTTTCTTTCCTCTGCATATTTTGAGTGCATTTGGTGGGTTGACCTGTTTATTGCTGACGCTACTGTGCAGTTACTTGTCTAACCCATGCTACTCATTTTGTTTAAAAAAAGAGGTGTAGCTTTAAAATCAGTGATTACATTATTATTATTATTAATAATAGTAAAGACTAATAATAAATACGTGAACAAGTAATAACAGACTTGTTTTATTCTGACTCACTAGCTCACTCTCCGACACAAAGAATGTACTTGCAAATTTTCTCACTTTAAATGTACAAAACGAATGAGGTAGCTTGTACGAGGGTCTGGATGTCTCATGTGCCGGGCAGTGATTACAGCTCAGCAGCACCCTTGCTGTGTCTGCCTGTGCAGCTGTGGGAGCCTTCCCTGCTCCGCAGCTCCGGTGCGGGACAAGAGCGGAACGCGTGGCGAGCTCCGGAGCGCGGTGCCAAACCACCCTGCCCACGGAGAGCCAGCGACTCTCAGGCTTCAGCAATTACTTCCCTTTGCTTTCATTTTCCAGGAGCGCCGAGATGAAAGAAACCCCAAAATTCAAAGCAGAATTCAGTCAAACAGCTTTTTTTTTTTTTCCCCCGTATATATGAATGCATAAATCAGCTCAGGGCACTCCAGACGGATTTAGGGTTTGCGGGAAACGTGACCTAGTTTTGCGTGAGAACAGCGAGCAGTTAAAAGCACGGGAGCTGGGTTTCGGGGACAGGACCCCGAGGAGGGGCACAGGCTGTGTCTCGGAGGACTGGGACAGGATTAGGCTGCTCCCCACGCTGCGGGGCTGTCCTGGCCAGCCCCAAACCACCACAAGCACTTTGGATGGGGTGCTGCACTGCACCTCGCACCTGGGTTCGGGACACTTTGTCCGGCTGCTCCTGGTGGGAATGGGGCCAGCCAAGGAGCTCCAGCTAGGGCGGTCCTGCCTGCATCCCCACGGATGGGGTGACTGGCCAGGCAAAGACCCTCCGCTCAGGGACTCATTTGTCTTCCAAACCTCCCTTCCCAAGACAAAAGAGGAGCAGTGCGACCTTTAGTTGGGAGCCCTACGTTAAGTCTGAACTGGGACATGTGGAAGCACTGCCAGTGTTGGCTGGAGAATGTGTAACCACACTGCACTAGTGTATTTCCATACAGTCCATTCACTAAATATGAAAAAAACTCCAATAAAAAGATTTAAAAGTCATTTCTAGTCATACAGGGATAGTTCCTACAATGACTTACCTCAGTTTTAAACTACTAAAGGCTGCATACATTATTTTCCTTTAAATTTTAAATAAGCAGAGTAATTAGATCTTTATCATGCCACTGCTAGAAGGAAAAAAAAAAAAATCTTCCTCAGCACCTGGTGTATCAATTCCTTAAATTTCAGAATGCCTTTAGACATCTGACAGAGTTTTGTCAGCTGTAACAAATGGGAGCAAGTCTCCTTAAACTAATAAAAGATGACCATGAAGTCAGAATTTGGCATTTCCAACCGCTTGGGGAGCGAGGAGAAACAGAATCGGGGAGCAAGCATACTCTACAAGGCAGCAGGACCCTGGAGCACGCTGGGTCCGATGTCCCTGGGAACTCAGCTTGGGATCCAGCCACTTGGACGGAGTCTTCCCAGGCTGAGAGATGCTCCTCTCTACACCTCTCACTACCCGCGTGGCTTTCCGGGCACCTAATCAAACCCCCGCACCACAGAGCAATGCAGGCACCAGAAGAAAGGTTTGAGATGATGACAATATTCGCCTCTTCTGAAGAGGTGGAGAAACCCAACAAGGGCTGCGGACCTCCCGTATGGCACTATCTGCCCACAGCCAAGAAAACTGCTGTTTTGAAGCCTGGAGATATTCACCTGGAAATTCTCAGGACCAGCCAAATAGGCAAAGTTAGGGGTAGCTGCTGTGTTCTCCCCCCAGAGCCCAAGACGACGCTCACCTCTGGGGACTCTGCCCCAGGGCAGGTACCCAGCTCCAGCCCCAAGCTGCACACCTCGCTCTGTCCTCTCTCCGCAGCAGTCCTTCTGCCTTCCCCACCATCCCGCACATCCCTAGTTGGTGGTGCGTTATTCAGCGATATCATCGGTGATATTCAGATCCCACACTGTCCGGCTCACAGAGCTTCCACCCGTGTTAGTTTACAATTAGACTCAGAAATGGGTGCAGAATATGAAATCGAGAGCTGCAGTGCAGAGAAAATATCTCTAGCACAGATGGGATTCTGCCCTAGATTTAGATCGCTTCCCTTCAGCAGATGCAAATTTCTTCACACAGACATGAATGCCAAGAATTAATGAGGATTTTTTGTACAGAAACTCTTTTACGACGACTCTGCACGCTGGAACTAAGGCTCAAGACGCTTTCTCTGTATTAGAGGCAATTGCAACAACCCCTGATGTTATGTGTTTCCTTCCTAAAGGCAGGGCAGACTGGCAGTAGCTCTAACACCTCCCTTTATGTGACATGAGCCAAGCCAGGGTGGATGATCTTCTTTTGCTTTTATTTCATTTCTTGTTACTAAACATTAGGCTGATCTGAGCATCTGGATGAATCGTTGGTTTTGATTTCCTGTCTGCTGCAGGTCAAAGATTATGTCACCAAGAGTATATTTATCCTGGTAATTAAATTCAGAT